GCCATGATATTGTGAAACAGGTGGGAATACTTCACTATAGCATTCAATTAAAATAGTCACATATAAACTCATACTGCGGAAAGACCATATTCTTGTAATACATGTGGGAAGAAATTCACGAAAGCGTATAAGTTTATAATGCATACACAAACTTATACCAAAGAAAAGGCCATATTATCATGAAACATGAGAAAAAGACGTTGCGATAGCAGGTAATTTGAAACAAATACAAACTCATACTGGGGAGGTACCATATTCTTGTGAAAATTTTGGGAAGAGCTTAGCGAAATCATATAATTTGAATAGCCATAAACAAACTCATAGTTGGGAGAGGCCATATTTTTGTGACACACAAGAATAGCGTGAAAAAATTTGCAGAAGGGGAAAATTATGCGGAAAGAGGTAGTCATTCATTTGAAAAATTATACAAAAACTTTAACTGGAGAAGGGCTGTAATGTTAAGTTTGCGTAAAAATTGATAAGGCTCACACAAATGAATAGAAAGGAAAGCTAAATTATTGTGTACTATGTGTAAAGAGCTGGTCGAGGCTCGAAGACGTGTAATATGAAAAAGCACACACATACTGGGGAGAAGCCATATTCTGGTGAAACATGTGGGAAGAGCTTTTTGAGAGCGAGTCATTTGGAAAGCCATACACAAACAAAATCATACTAGGGATAGGTGATATTTTGGAAATCATGTCGAAACGATTTTTCGAGTGCGATTCATTTCAGGGCATACACAAACTCATACTAGAAAGAGGCCATAATATTGTGAAAGATGTGGTAAAAGCTTTGCGATAGCGTGTAATTTAAATGTTGCATCAACAAACGTATTCTGGGGAGTGGTCATATTTTGAGTGGCCTTTGAATTCTCGGAAAGAAATTGTATAGTTGTAGATTGTTCATGTCTACTAACAAAGAAAAATATAATGCAACAAGAAAAATACTTGCTTCATTTGGCAAGTTTATGTCAATATTGAATTTCACTCTTAGATACATTCAGCACTAAGCGAACCACAAGTCAATTTGCCGTGGAGATTCATGTTAAAATTTTTGTAATATTAAACCATATTTTGGGAAGAGATTTGCGATAGCGAGAAATTTGAAAAGCAAAAAGTCATACACAAACTCAGACTGAAGAGAGGCCGTATTATTGTGAAACATGGGGAACGAAATTCGCGAGAGCGTATAAGTTGAAAGGGCATTCTCAAACTCATACTGAAAAGCAAAAAGCCATACGCAAACGCATACTGGAGATTGGCCGTTTTTTGTGAACATGTGGGATTTCAAAAGTCGTACATAAACTCATACAGGGCAGGTTATATTATTGTAAAAACGTTTAAAAATGCCTCGCTATAGCATGTAATTAAAATAGTAATACACAAGTTAAAAATTGGGAAGAGATATATTCTTGGAAAAAAATTCACGATAGCGCGTCATTCGAAAAAGGCATACACAAACTTATACCGAAAGGAGGCTTTATTATGGTGTAACATGAGACAAGGGCTTTGCGATAGCAGGTAATTAGAAATGAAATACAAACTCATACTGTGGAAGGGCCCTAATTTTGTAAAACTTTGCGAAAGCGTGTAATTTGAATAGACGTAAACAAACTCATATTCGGGACATTGCAAATCGCAAAATTTTGGATGCTACCATACCAGGGCATTTTCTCTTAGGAATCTTTGCTTTACTGCCTCCACACTGGTACGTACAGTACTGCCGTAGGTGTTGTACGAACAGCTCAGATTTGACGAATTCACACAAAAAAGAATCAAAAAACAAATGACTTGCTCTCGAAAACATTTTTTTTACGTTTTGCCTTTTTGTTTGCGCCTTTCCATTATAAACGCTTTGGCTTCCCCCTTCTTTATCTTTGTCAATGCCTGTTCAAACTGCATGCCATGAAAAAGCTCTTTGTAGATGGTTTTCTAGAATGGCGAACCTTTCCGATGAATGGGTCAAAAATTATATTTTTTATATTTTTTTTTGAACAACTGAAATTAATCATGTTCGACATTATCTACCCAATTTATTACACCCTGGATAAGGTGGTGTAACCATGATGTGTAACCAACGATCTCAACACAATGAAGTCTAACACTTTAAACTGGGCATGTAATTTTCATTGCTAAATATTTGTAATGTCTCGCGTTATCTTCAAATTCCTTCAGTACTTCCTTTGTTAAGCTTTCCTCAAAGCAGCACACAGTATTTGCACGATAAATAAAGCTTTTACTGCTACAAATCATTATACACGAAAGTAACTTGATACAACATAAACAAACAGGGAATAACCATAGGTTGGAAAACACTGCTTTAATGCATTGTGCTGTGCTCCATAAACATGTATCACATTGGTGAGTGCTCTTGAGCTGACTGAGTGTGATTGTAGATTTAAATTTTGAGAGAGTGATTAAGTGTGAGAGGATTGGGACTTTGTGGACACCCTTTATATATCTTGATTTCTCCACGGAATGAATGATAGGTTTATGGTTGCAAAAGTTCACCAAAAATTATTTTTGATTGACAACTTTGCACTGCCTGTGAATGCGATTGAATTTTCTGGAACTCCAGAAAATTGAAATTGAACTTTTTTTATTTTATCATCTGATTTTCTTTATCAGTATTTTATATATAACCAGTTGGCACTTGTAATAGGTAGATCAAGGATTTTCAGGCCCTCAAGTCACAAAACAATTAATCTAAATCAGCGTTATCCAAACGGGGAGCCCCCTGCGTGGTCGCACAACAAATTTTAGAGGTCGTTAAGAGTACAGCAATTTTACACAAAGTACTCGATCTAGCAGGAGTAACAGTGTCAACTTTGATTCTTTGCTGAATTTGATCATTAACGCGTAAGAGCGAGTAACAAAACTTAGAACCTTGCCGTTGTTGGCTAAACATCGATATTCATATCCCTTTGCTGGTGCAGCGAAAATTTTATTTGGGTCGGACATCCTTTCTCCATAAGCTAACACCAAATTAGGTTGTAATATACTGACTAACAGTTAACATTGAATGGCGTTCAAGCAAGCATATCAACAAAAGTATTTATTTTAAACATTTTATTCTCCCGTCAGTGTGAAGGCTGTACCTATCGGGAGTGTTCTGTGGGACGGTGATTGAAATTGCTAATAAATTGGGCGACATGGCGATTTTTGCCGTACTATTATTCTATATGGTATTAGACTTGACATGGGCGAACTACGGCTCGTGGGCCAAGTCCGGCCCGTTGGGTAATTCAATCCGGCCCGCCTGATGCTGCCACATCCTAACTAAAAACAAATTTTGATGTTTTAGCTAAAGAAATAACTTGAAGAATTTGTTGAGATTGCGGTTAAATTTAGTCTTGGCGCGAGGCCTATTGTTTTCCACTTTTGTTTATGTAACACCATAAATATTGTCCATAAAAACGAATTTTTTCGTCACACTTACATGGCCCATCAGTCCATGTAAATATTGTCTATAAAAATAGGTTAAAGGAAACCCAAACTGTCTCCCAAGTACCTGAAAATCGTTCCTAGGGGCTCATTAACCCAAGTTCATAATTCCCTGCGCCCAATATTCAAAGTCAAATATATTATTATTCCACCTCATTAACTTTAATCTGTATTTTTTTAGCAAAGAGACAGAAGGAAAATACAAGTAGGTCCATGGTGTCATTGTCCTCACTTTCATTGACTCAACTCATAGCTAGGGATGTCCATATCGTATTAATTTGATATTCAGATTTGGATTCCAAACAATTCTAAAGCAATTTATTTGTGTAAAAAGCATTATGCTGAATTTTGGTTGAAAAATTCGAACAATTATCATCAGATTGGAAACATTTCACAGAAAAAGAATTGGGATTATTTTTGAATTTCAAATTGTTGAAAAATTGTTTGATGAAAATTTGTGTGCATTCATACAAGCATACAATAAACATTTTTTTTGATAATTATTTTTCGCCCTTATTTATTATTACAAAAATTTCCATCATAAACTTATGTGCAGGAGGTTCAATTTTTGAGTCCGCAAATAAGTGGTCTTTCAGACATGGATTAACAAAATTCTTCGGTAAATTAAAGCATTCTCACCTTTACTATTTTTTTCTGACAACTAATTTTAAGGACATCCCTGCCCACCTACCTCACACATGGCACTGTCACGTTGAACTCTCATTATTGCATTCATCTTTCACCATTTCTCATGTCATTCATCTCTGCACTCAATTTCTCAAACCTTACTCATTTCTAAAAAATTAGAAACTAATCCAAAATTTAATGTTAGTATCGTTGAGGTTTGAATTTATGCAGAGCTATTAAACAAAGAATATTTTCAAAAAATGACAACCGAGTTGTAGAGCAGGGGTGAGCAAGGTTTTTGAACCAGGGGCCGAAAATTTTGCCCATCTAGACTGGCAGGCCATATAGGTGTGACGTAAAAAGTTACATTTTATGAACAATAGTTACAGTGTTACGAAAGCAAAAGTCGAAAACAATGAGCTTCGTGCCAAAACAAATTTAATCGCAATCTCAATAAATTCCTTAGCAATTTTTCAGCTAAAACTTCAAAATTTGGTTTTAGTTTGTTAGGGCAAGAGCAAGCGGGCCAGATTGAATTACCCAACCGCCCGGATTTGACCTGCGGGCGGTAGTTTACCCATGTCAATTGTAGAGGGTAGCAGATCTCGAGCTGACATTAATTGTGTAGTCTTGTGTGACGGATTGTGGTGATGGTGATTCGGCAATGGCCGACTGCCCTTTCCCGCCAATATGCTTTTGTGGTCATTGCGTGATTCAGCACAATGATACGAACATTTCACTCTTAATTGAATTTTAATTTATTCATTCTCACGTATAACAACATCTATAATTTGTGTATCCCTGAATTATTTTTGAAGTTGGATATAAGAGGCATCCTTATGAGAAACTCACCCAGGGCAGCAGAAAAGTTTGCCAAACCCACATCACCACTAAGTAAAAAATGTCTTGTAACCTGTTTTCCTATAGTCAGCCAGAAGCTGATGCCGAAGAGATTAATCTTGGGGCTGTAGGGGTTGTCGAAGAGAATCAACCAATTGCAAACGAGGCAGAACCCATAGCTAACGGAGAACCGTACGATGGTTAATGTAGTGTGGTTGTTGTTTATGTCAGTTGTTGGTCAAGGCATCAGTTGTTGGTCGTGGCATCAGTCGCTGGTCGTGGCATCGATTGTTGGCCGTGGCAGTAGCTGTCAATTGTGGCAGTAGTTGTTAATTGTGGCATTAGTTGTTAATTGTGGCATTGGGTGTTGTGACATGCTATGTATTGATTGTGGTATTAGTTGTTGGTCGAGGCATATGATGTTAATCGTGGCACTGGATATTATAATTTTACCATTTTGGCGTCAATAATTGGTTGTTGTATTATTTGTTGGTTAAAGCAATATTTTTTGGTTAAGGCACCATTGTTACTTGTTGATTGGATGTCGTGGTTTCGTTAATAATTGATTGTGGCATTAGTTGTTGGTTGAGGCATCTGCCAATGACTGTGGCATCATTTGTTGGTTGTGGCATTGTTTGTCGGTCGAGACCCTATCTTCTGGTTGTTTGTTAAAGTATGATTGTGGCATTAGATGTTGTAATTTCACTATCCATGAATTGTGGCATTAGTTGTTGTTCAGGGCATCTTTTGTTGACCGTGGCATTGACGGCTGGTCGAAGCATCATTTGTTGTTTGTGGCGTTGTTTGTCGGTCAAGGCAATATTTTTTGGTTGTTGTTAAGGCATGATTGTGCCATTAGATGTTGTAATTACAATATTAATTAGTTGTCGGTTAGGGCATCTGATGTTGAATGTGACATGGATGTTGTAATTTCACTATTTATAGATTGTGGCATTAGTTGTCGGTTAGGGCATCTGTTGTTGACCGTGGCATTGGATGTTGTAATTCCACCATTTATTGGTTGTGGCATTAGTTGTCGGTTAGGGCATCTGTTGTTGTTGACTGTGGCATTGAATAAAGGTCAAGGCGGAATTGTTGACCGGGGCATTGGATGTTGTGGTTTTACTAAGAACTGGTTTTGTAAATCGAGGCGCCAGTTGGTAACTATAAACTAGATGATGATATTCAGTTTTCTTTATATATCTCTTACACATGTCATAAATAACATTCGCCCTGAACAAGGCCCTGTACTGCGGCCACTGATATCTACCTATCTGTTAGGAGTTCCATGCTAATCTTTGATGATCGGAATTACGACAATAACATAGGCGCTCGAAACATATAAATTGATTTAAGCTGTATCAATTGGGAAATGTAATAAGATTTAACGTAAGAAACTCATTTCAGTGCAATCGGCAAACTCGCTCCAATAGATGAGCAGACCCCTCTTCGTAATGACAATGATGGGCCTGACTCAGCACTGACACCTAGTGGGAACGGAAAGGCAGAGGTGCCGCAGGAACCTGATGAAGAAAAAGTGGAAAAGTGAGAGAAATGCAAAAAGCAATATTTACACATTTTGTCTCCCTCTTTTTACAAACGTTACCACAACACAATTTTATTATATAAATATAGATACGTTAAATCAGTCAGAAGGTTGTGTGACATTAAATACCCCATATAAGACGGTTCATTTCATTGTATCATCTATGTACATTGTACATGCTTGGTTAGACCATGTTTTGTTAGACGGGGCCAAGCATGATCAGAGTTACACAACAACTTATCATTCATTGTTTCATCATAGAACCAAATCACCCGAAGAAGAAAAACTTGTCAAAACAGAAGAGAATGGAGAAAAGGCATGATGATGTAACAAGCACTACTGTCATGATGTCACTATCATATTTATTATGACTTCATAAATGCACTAAGTTTTATGTGTCATGTACATAGTGACACAACAGAGACTAATCAGAGAGCTGAAAACTAACATGACATCTTTATTTATTTCCGTTGCCATAGCAACTTATTATTTCTGCATGTCATATATTCATCTGTGTCATATTTCTGAATGTCATAAACAACTTTTGTTCAGTATTCATCGGTTAGGCATTGCAAAATAGGGTGGAAGCATGAAAATATCGTAGACGATAAAGATTAAAATACCTAATACACTGTAGTCTGACTACAGTTGCCGAATTCAAATTATTTTCATACATTGTTTATTTTTTATCCCCCCCCCCTCATAACAGAGTTCTTTGCAAGCAGCCACTGATAAATGAACACTATTATATTTGGAAAGACTGTATCTTCCTGTTTCAGCATTGTGTATCAAATATATCAACCTGGGTTAGCGGATGGACATATGATTGCCCCAAATTTTTCTTTATATAATAATTATCAAGACTAGTCTGGCTACACAATTACCACATAGCTTATAATTTTTCTGGAGAAACAAGCGCACTTTTTATTTTGTATTATGATTTCATTTGTAAATATTCATTTGTGTAAAGTTCCTCCTGTATGATTATTTCTATGTTTATATCTTATTTCCTCATTTTTATGACATAACAAAGCATTCCAAGATAAACAATGCTCCTTATTATTTTGTCACAGTGTTAAAGAAGAATCTTGAAATAATCGCGGATGAATATCCAAGAATTAAAGTTTGAGTGTGAAAAGGACTAATTTGGGTTATGGGACTGAGTTTTGCTTGGGGCGAAATTTGCTTTTGTATATTATTTGTGAATATACCTTGAGTGTCCAATACTTTTCTTTGGTGTAGAATATTTTGATGCTTATTGTGGGTTGTGGTGTAAAAAGGAGGATTTTTCACAGCCCATGAGGTTATTATGACATCATTAATGTCACGTTTTCTAATGTTATGCCACTTTTTGGACAATTTAAACTTGTCAAATTTTATTCTATTGTGGTTCATTTCCAGCGTCGAAAGAAATCTTAGGCCTTTTCAGGATAACTTTGAATATCATAGATTTTTCTTTCATCAAAAAATTAATAAATACGGTAAAAGTGTTAATGTTTATTTTTTCAAGTTAAACTTCCAAAACTTGGTTCAGCATCAGGCCTAAATTTCCTCTACTTTCCATTTGTAATTGATGAGGTTTCTCTGGGACTTGTTGTAGGTGCATTAAAAAAATCCTGAAGGCCCATATAGTCCTGAGGTACCACGTTTAGAAACACTGCCTTAGACTCTTTTCCCACCATTCAAATTTCAAGCATACGCCTCGCATATTTTGCCCTAACAAGATTTTTCAGTGTTCTACGTATTGTTGCCATCATTTTTTGTAACAATGTCTTTATTTCAATATTTTAGTACCAACAATTTTGCAGTTATATGCGTGTTCTTGCCGTTTTGGTTCTTACCGTTCTTTAATTTGGACACACTGTAATGTATAAGCGCATTATTCATTTTAATAAAAATGTTCTAAATTCAAGGCTTTCCCCCGTATCTCTCATTGAGGCGTTTTATCGACTATACAAAGACATTAATATCCTAACTACTCTCACAGAAATTACCTGATCTACACTTGAACTTCTGTTTATGCACCCAAAGGTTCGAGCAATCTAGCACGCTTTGAACAAAAGTTATATTCTTCCTAGAATATGTTCCGAATTAACTGATTTCGGCTTTTTAGCATAAGGGTCCGAGTCATCTATTTCGCTGTGGGCAATTACCGATTATCTAATGCCATGTTTTTCTCGAGATATTGCTATTATTTTTGAAAACTAATAGCTGTAAAGTGTAACTGTTTTGCTTTTAAGCAGTAATATATTGTTTGCATGAAATTTTCATTTTATGTAATTTTTGTTTTTAATCAATAAAATCTTTGTTTGAAGATCGTTGGTTGCTCGCACAATGGTTAAATAAAAACGCGCTTGTGATTTGTATGTACTTTCTGTAATTAATACCGTAATCAAAGACTCACTGAGGTCTTGCCATGTTAATAATGGCATTTTATAGATAGTGTGTTTCGTAAATGGAATGCAGCTAAAACAGCACCAGATAGGCTACAAGGCGATAACTCCAATGTATGCTGGCAAATACAAATACCTTTCATTGCAAATCATTACTTATCTGACAAGACTGTTATAACTATATGTAAAGTAGGCGATCAAAATCAGTTACCTCCATATTAGTACACACATTTCTGAAGCGGCTGATTTATATGAAGAGTTTTTTGCGTAGTTACTTCAAAAAGGGGATGTGCAGGTTTGGAACGACCGGAAATTGTAGCGGTACAACCTAGATGAGGGACCCATTGAATCTGAACCCAAAATTCCGAATGTGCCGTATTTCACTCCACGGCATTCGAATTCGACAACTGAGGCCTAGTTTCCATCAAACAGAGAAAAAACTCGCACAATACGACATTAAAGCTCATCGGTATATTTATACTACGCAAGAGTGCTGCCACACTAACACATATGTGTAGCAGGACTCTTGAATTGCATAGTATGGTATTTTTATTCCTGCAGCAGCATACTTGCATTATACGCATACGGATCCACTAGCGCAAAGGTATTGAGGAAAGATTGGGAGTTAGTCTCGCGTAACCTCTGCTGATAGGTAAATTTATAATCGGCAAAAGTGGGACATTCAATATAAACAATGTTTTACGTGCCTCGCGAGACCATATGATACGCCAATTCAAAGAATCGTTCTATTGTAATCATCACCAAAAAATACTCCCGCCAACGCTCAAAATAATAAAATTACTAATAATTCTTTAGGGTTAGAAACGCAGACTGCGCTGGAAACTTTTAAATCATTCCTAACGTAACTGGATAATTACTAATTTCTTATTTTAAAACGTCGCGGGGGTGTTTTTCTCAAATCTCACATTTTGCATCAGTATCTGGGCTTTGTATAAAAAATCCAAACGAAATTATGAAGGAATATATTGATGCCTACGCAGACGGAAATACCATAACAGATACATTCGAGATGATTTTACGGTGTTTCTATTTTCGTCGCTTCGTATTGTTACGTCACTATTATCGTGTTTGTTCGCGAACAGTGCGTCGATTTACCTGATCGAACAACCGGGGGAATCCCCTTGTAAAGTCACAGGTTTTTGTCGACTCGTCTTTGTCTGCGCTGTGTACCCATACTTCTGTTTTGCGATTAATATTCGTGTTTGGAATTTGAAGAGATTGGCAGTGATTAAGTATCAACTTTGACAACATATTTTCCATAGCTCATTATCTGGTAAGTTGGTTACTTTTATGTGTATTCTTGTTTGTAACTAGTCTGGGGTAAAGTTAGCACGGGTAATAGAATTAGTGGAAGCTTAGGCCTATGCTTGACCACGGCCTCGCCGTATTACCAGCCCAGATCAGCTTTATAAATTTAGCCGTTCATTTTATCGCTTCAGATGCGTGGTTATGATCTACTAAAATAATCCTTGAGCGAAGATGTATCTTTTCGGGCGTTCAGTTGCAAACAGACAATTTTTGATTTACACCGTACCGCAAAACCGCATTTTATATCGTACCTATACGCATGTTTGAATGTCAAAATAGAGGAATAGTAATGTACGAGAGAAGAACTTGAACTCCTGATTGTCCAAAATGATTAAAATTAAATCTCAACCTCTTTTCATAAAAATATTTTAAGCTCTAAAAAGGATTCGACAATGGCTTCGCGAAGTTCTACTCCGGTCGACTCCGAATACGATATACCCAATCGGAGTAAGTAGATATTCTGTTTGGTTACACTAACTTTAACAACGACACTTTTCATATTTTCTAATCTAACTCAATTATGCAATTGTATTATTCATCGTATTGTACATGGAAATCTTTGTATAACCTTGATGGACCATTATTTCTTATTGCTGTAAGTTAGTCGGCCACATTTCAGTATTGAAGGCCCGACTTGCGATTACAATTTCAATTTTTTAACACTAAATCTAGTAGATTAGATAGTTATTCATGAAAGGATTCGTGAAGCGCAGGATTTGATAGTTGAATTTGAATAGCTTTTGTACATTGAATATTGTCATATACGCCGACTTTAATACTTCTATTTTAGTTAGCATCTATTTTGCTCAAGTAGAGCCACGATTTTCATCGCTGATGGCAAACAAATAACAATTGTTAAATGAATAAAATAAATGAGGAAATAAATGTTAAATGAAAATGACCGTGTTGTACTAGTGCCGTTTAGTATATGGGCGCATCCCTGGGTCGCAAAATGGTACGAAATTAAATTTTGGGACTCCTAAATTATGCGCACCAAGATGTCGCATAACCTGAACCCTAATTTGGTACACAACCTGAGTTCAAACTTGGTTTTATTTTTTAGTAAGTTTCCATTTATTTGGTATTGGAGTGTTGCTAAATAGTAATTGTATATGTATGTGGGACAGTATTGCAGCGTAAAAACTTTGAAGCGTCTATTTTACATAAGTAAAGCCATGATTCAAAAAATCGCTGATGGCAAACAAATGATAATGAAATGTATAATACGGAAATAAATGTTGAGTAAAAATCACTGTTTTGCATTAGTGCCGTTTAGTATCCGGGCGTATCCCTGGTTCGTGAGATTTTCAATTGTTTACAAAATTTGCTACAGGCGGGCAATCTCATTCTATTATTGATAGCCCGTTGCTAATTTACACTACGATTTTTTTCAACGTTCAACATACTATGATATTTAGTTATTCAATTATACTATTCCTATTTTATTACAGCGTGGGGTGAGTACAGTTCTACTAATTCTGCTATTTCAAAATTACCAATTTATTCTTTTGTGTCTAATTACACATTTTCATTAGAAATTGAACATCTTATCAAAAACAAACCCACCGTCCCATGCTTTCGCCTTCCAATCTTTATAATCATCAAATTCTGCACTAGTTGCGAAATGTTTTATGAAAACAATTCAGTCCAGGCTTATAAATATTTCAGTTCTAGCTAGAAGGGTTCATTCATATAATTCTATTCTATCATTTAAAGCTTCTACGTGAAGAGTTCATTTATTTCTATTAAATAATATTGGATCATGTGAGCGTAGCCAGCTGTTTCGTGGATATATGATAGAAAATCCGCACATCACATTAGAGGCCTCATGACCGTTTATTGATTTAGGTTAGGCAACCACATGCCATGGGCGATGGGTATTTGCGATTCCAAATTCTATCTTTGAACACTCAAACTATTATTTTATAGTTATTGATGAATGAATGCGCGGGAAACGCAAAGCTCACCAGTAGATTTTGAACATCTTATGTCCATTGAATATTTTCATATACTTGGGCCTCCTATTACATTGTGCTACAGGACAGTGTTGCCCAACCTATGGGTCGCGAGCCAAGGCTGGGTCGCCTGAAAATTCTTTTGGCTCGCTTGTTTTTTCCACAAGAACCAAATTTATTGTCTAGTACATTTTAATATATTTCATATTTGGTATTGATGTGTTGCACAATGTAATTGTATATGTGGGAAGTATTGCAGCGTAAAAACCTTGAAGAGTCTATTTTACATAAGTAAAGCCATGATTAAGAAAAAACGCTGATGGCAAACAAATAATAATGAAATGTATAATACGGAAATAAATGTTGAGTAAAAATCACTGTTTTGCGTTAGTGACGTATAGTATCCGGGCGTATCCCTGGTTCGTAAGATTTATTATTTTACACAAAATTTGCTACAGGCAGGCAGTCTTATTCTATTAATGATAGTCCGTTGCTAATTTACACTGCAATTTTTTAACTTTCAACTTACAATGCTATTTAGTTAATCAATTGTACTATTTCTATTTTATTACAGCGCGATGTAAGTACAGTTTTATTGATATTCTGCTATTTCAAAATTACCAATTTGCCCCGATGAAAACTGCGACTCAGATCGATTTGTTCAACATTCCTTGATTTAGTTCAGGGTGGTCCAATGTTGTCGGCGTCGAGGGCCACAATATTAATTTTGTGCTGTTCGCGGGCACATTATTCTCAAGACATTTGATTATTATTTACGATTAATCAATGTTTTTATACCAACAATTATGTTGGTCTTTGAAATTCTTTAACTTAACTGACATTCAATGTTTGGTCTCCCGGTCTGTTCCGTGTATTAGATTTCAACCATTTTACAACGGAGAAGCTGCTTTCATAAATGAAGCGCTCCCGAGCCTCCCGCACATCGATAACATGCCGATTTAGATTATATTCTTTATCACTGACACATCTTGCAGACATATGAAGCATTGAGGTTTTATTTTCCTCAAGCAAGTACTTTTTTTCTCATATCGAGTTAAAATTCTGTTTGAATTGGTCAGATTTCCTGCGGAACTCACGTTTACAAAGCGACTTACAAATCACTGCAGATTGCTCGATTACTGAAATTCGGCAATTGTGAAAAAGGCTACAGCAGGATAATATCGCGACATGATTGATATTTACTACATTTTCTGACATATAGGCACCACATTTAGTGTTATTGTACAGGGTGATTACAAAAAGACAATTGGGTAGGGAGTAAAATGCTAGGCTGATATTTAGTTTTCAATGTAGGTTATGGAGCTATTGTCAACGAATATTCCCGAAGAAAGAGATTTTAAAACAAATGATGCTGGCCAAACACGGTATTCAATTACATTACCAAAATGATACAGTCAGCCGCAAGCCTGGGTTTGGATCACCCTGAACTAGTAATGAAAATATAATATATTATGTCTATTCCTATATTGTTGTGTAATGCAATCGCACTCAATGAAGTATGCTCCTATGCCAATAAGGCTCCAAATTGTCCTTTCCAAACACTCAATATAGTACATTATTTAGTTATTCAATTATACTATTCCTATTTTATATTACAGTCAAGAGTGATTAAAGTTTCACTAATATTCTGCTATTTCAAAAACTACTAATTCATTCTAATTATAATTC